GAGATCCAGTTGATTCTGCACGACATCCAGGCCGAGGGGATGATCTTGAGTGAAACCTTCCAAGTGGCTGTGGTCATTGAAAAGTTGCCTCCGGGCTGGAGGGATTTCAAGAACTACCTCGAGCACAAGCGCAAGGAGATGTCCTTGGAGGATCTAATTGTTAGACTTTGCATTGAAGAAGACAATAGGAAGTCAGAATCAAAGGCATCCAAAGGTAATTGTTTTAATTGTGACAAACCAAGTCACAGGTCTGCTGATTGCCGCTCCCCAAAGAAGGATCATGAGGCGAACATAGTCAAAGACATCACTAAGGATGTGGAGGACATGCACCTTGTTGCTTTGGTGACCCAAGTGAATATGGTGGAGTCCAACCCAAAGGAATGGTGGATGGACACTGGCGCGTCCAGGCACGTGTGCACCCATAGAAGCCACTTCACCACCTTTGAACCAGTCCATGGAGAGAAGATCTACATGGGAAATGCTGTTGTTGCCACTGTTGAAGGCAAAGGAACTGTGAAGCTCAAGATGACTACGGGCAAGACTCTGACACTCACAAATGTGTTGTATGTGCCAGAAGTGCGCAAGAACCTTGTGTCCGGATTCATGCTAGACAAGAATGGGTTTTGCATTGTAATAGAGTGTAATAAGGTTGTTTTTTCTAAGGCAGGAATGTTTGTTGGGAAAGGGTATGCAACCGATGGGTTGTTCAAACTCAATGTAATGACTATTGTCGATGAAATGAATGCAAGTACCTCTTCTGCTTATTTGATTGAGTCTTCCAATTTATGGCATGGTAGACTAGGTCATGTTAATTCTGATTCGATGCGTCGATTAATTAACTTGAACCATATACCAACATTCCAAATTGACTCAGGAAATAAATGTGAAATTTGAGTCGAAGCAAAGTTAACGAGGTCATCCTTTCAACGGTTGAAAGGAGTACTGAACCACTTGAATTAGTTCACAGTGATGTTTGTGATTTGAAATCGGTTCAAACACGAGGTGGTAATAAGTATTTTATCACATTTATTGATGATAGCATGAAATATTGCTATGTTTACTTGTTAAAAAGTAAAGACGAAGCATTAGAGAAATTCGTTCTCTACAAAACCGAAGTTGAGAATCAACTTGGTAAAAAGATCAAGAGATTGAGAAGTGATAGAGGTGGCGAGTATGAAGCACCGATTGGTGACTTTTGTGCACAACATGGAATTGTTCATGAAGTGACAGCACCTTATTTACCTCAATCTAATGGGGTTGCTGAATGGAAAAATTGCACATTGAAAGAAATGATGAATGCGATGTTGTTAAGTTCAGCCCTACCTCCCAATATGTGGGTAGAAGCCATCTTGTCAAGTAATTACCTTTTAAGTAGGGTTCCTCGAAAGAAAGAAGACAAGACTCCATATGAGTTATGGAAAGGAAATAGACCATCCTACAAACACTTGCGAGTGTGGGGGTGTCTAGCAAAGGTAGTTGTACCTCCGCCAAAGGCAATAAAAATTGGACCTAAAATGGTCGATTGTATTTTTATTGGCTATGCACAGAATAGTAATGCATATCGGTTCTTAGTGCATGATTCGAAGATTTCGGATATACACAAGAACACAGTTTTGGAATCAAGAAATGCATCTTTCTTTGAAAATGAGTTTCCTTACAGGACTAAGGATGAAGACAGTTCATCAAAATGAACTCATGAAGAAGTTCATGATTCGGTTGAGGTTCAATGTTGAACCAAGACGGAGGAAAAGGGCAAGAGTAGAGAAATCATTCGGTGATGATTTTGTAACCTATTTAGAGAGAGAACCTCTAACTTACGCTGAGGCAGTAAGTTTTTCTGAGGGACCTTTATAGGAAGAAGCCATAAAGAGTGAAGTCGATTCAATTTTACAGAATCATACTTGGGAGCTTGTTGATCTCCCACCTGGACAAAAGCCATTAGGATCTAAATGGATCTTTAAGAGGAAAATGAAACATGATGGTTCCATTGATAAATACAAGGCCAGGCTTGAAATCAAAGGGTATAAACAACGAGAAAGTTTAGACTACTTTGATACATATTCTCCTGTGACGAGAATAAATTCCATAAGGATGATACTTACTATCGCAGCCTTAAGGAATTTGAAAATACATCAAATGGATGTTAAAACAGCTTTCTTAAATGGAGATTTAGATGAAGAAATTTATATGGAACAACCCGAGGGTTTCCGAGCTCCAGGAACATAAAAGAAAGTTTGTAAACTAATAAAGTCCCTGTATGGTCTAAAGCAAGCACCTAAAAAGTGGCATGAAAAATTTGACCATACAATCATTACTAGTGGATTCAAACTTAATGAGTGTGACAAACGTGTTTATGTCAAGGAGATAGAAAATGATTATGTCATATTATGTCTATATGTAGACGATATACTCATTGTTGGTAGTAGTGACAAGTTGGTCAAATCTACCAAGAACATGTTAAACTCTAAGTTTGACATAAAAGACATGGGTCTAGCTGATGTGATTTTAGGTGTTAAAACTCATAAGGACAACAGATGGTCTAGTTTTGAGTCAAGCTCATTACATAGATAGAATTCTTGATAAGTTTAACAAGAATGATTCTGGGGTCGCGAAAATACCATTGGATAACAGGTCCATTTATCAAAGAATCGTGGACAGGGTATATCTCAGGTGGAATACTCTCGGATAATAGGAAGTCTGATGTATCTAATGAGTTGTACTAGACAAGATATTGCTTATGTGGTAAGCAAGTTGAGTTCATACCCGAGTAATCCCAGTGCTGAACACTGAACTGCTATAATTAGAGTACTTAGGTATCTAAGACATACTCGTGATTATGGACTGCATTATACCAGATATCCATCTGTGTTGGAGGGTTACACGGATGCCAATTGGATATCTGATATAAAGGACTCACACTGCACAAGTGGCTACGTGTTTACACTAGTTGGAGCAGCTGTGTCGTGGAAATCCTCAAAACAAACTGTAATAGCCAGATCCACAATGGAATCCGAGTTCATTGCCTTGGATAAGTGTGGTGAGGAGGCTGAATGGCTACGCCATTTTTTGGAGGATATTTCAAAGTGGGAAAAACTTGTCCTACCTATTAGTATTCATTGTGATAGTCAATCGACGATTGGAAGGGCACATAGTACTATGTATAATGGTAAGTCGAAACATATTCGTATCGACACAATACCATTAGACAACTCCTCTCAACAGGAATTATCACAATTAACTACGTGAAGTCAAAGGATAATCTTGCGGATCCGCTAACCAAAGGGTTGAATAGAGAGCCAGTTGAAAGATTGACCAAAGGAATGGGTGTAAAACCTGTGAAGAAATAAAAGTCTTAAGAAGGAAAACCCAACCTAGTTGACTGGAGATCCCAAGATCTAGGTTCAATGGGACAACCTAATCATAAGACTTAGTGTGATCACTGTGGGGGTAAAACTCAACTCATTCCTATCATCAAACAGTGATATGACGAAAAAAATAGCAAACGGTTGCTTTAATGATACTTAAGTGAGTATTTTCATTTACTCTATACTTAAGAAGTCACCTATGTGAGAGAGAAGTGGGGCCGCTTCAAAGCAGAACTGTTAAGGCTCAGTTCTTTAGTAACTCTAGCAGAACCAGGACGTGTTCATGGCCGAAATGGACAAAACCATAAGAACAGAACTAAATAGAAATGGTTCCTGTGTATTGTATGTGGGTTTCTTTACACAATATAGCCGGACTGTTCAAGGACATCGTGTCTATTGGACAGCTAGTAAGGCAAACATACTTTACAAGGAGAAAGTTCAAAGGGTAAAACCTACTTTCTCTATGCAGGGATCAGTTGGTGAACACCATCATCATTTATTCGAAACAATATCTCATTCATGTAGGGGATTGTTGAAAATGAGTAGTAGTCAATGAGAATTAAGTTTCTCAAGAGTTGGAAAAATAAGAGTTAAGGCTAAGGGACTTTGTCCCACATGGGTGTTGGGAAAGTTGGAGTTCACTTTATAAGTGAGAGCACAAAATTGACTTGCAAGTTGATTTGCCAATACTATACCACATCTCTCCCGCTCACGTGCGCCCGTGCAGGAGGGGGTGCAAATGGAGGTCTGATTCAGGGCGAAAATAGCCTGACTCATGTATGCGCACGACCTGCGGACACGAATTCCGAACCGAACTCTCACGAGCCTGATCAACCTATATTTTGCTCCGGTTCGAATTAAATTTTTCCGATCAAAATAGAGAAGAGGATATGTAACGTTTAAATTAATTCGGTGGAATAAAGTTAGACGTTTAATAGCCAAATAAATAGCTGGCTTTAATTCTTTTGAATGAAAAAACATTTTCAGATTCATTTGAATTTAAAAGGCCAGAATTATTTGACTGTTTCAGCCTTGAATGAGAAGAATAAGGTGGCATGAATGCATGAAACATTTTCCAGGCCATAAATCTGCGAATTGAAGTGCACTTTAATGGTAAATAAAACCGTTCAAAGTCTTCAGCAGCTCAAGGATCTTCTCCGGCCTATAAATAGGCACTCATTTTCCAAATTTCGACACACCTTTCCTCCCATCTCTCTCAGCTTTCTTTCTAGCCTTCTTTCATTTCTTTTCCCGGTGTTCATCAGTTGTTCTAAGTTCCAGTTCGATTGTAGAGTTGCTTTGTGCTAAGCAGGCTCTACGTTTCCGTTGTATCCTGGGAAACAGTTGCTCGAGATCCTCAAGTACCTTAGGAGGGGGCAAATCTGTTTTAAGGAGATCGTATTTTCACGAGCCTCGGATTTTTTCTTCTTCCGATTTTCCTTAACCTTTGCGAATACTTTTCGGATTTTTCCAACAATTTCTACAAATCTCTTTTTTATTTTATTTATTTATGGTCATTATTTATGTATTTATTTTGAGGAAGTTTCTAAAATCTACTATTACACTGTAACCAGAAACACGAGGCTCTTCGGTTACCAGTAATCTATTCGGTCAAATGGAGCCCCATGACCCAGAATTCGTCCACAACTCGAGGCAAAAAAAGAAAATCTCATAAACTGCCTGGTCGGAAGACGAGAAGAAACAGAGGAGGAAAAAAGTAGCAGAAAATCGAAATGGCCATTGCAGCAATCCTTCATCCATCATCCATTATTACCACTTCTTTCAACAAAACCCGATTCCCATCACTTCCTCAGAAGAATTTCTTCTTCAAATTTTCGGTCAAAGCTTCATCAACTTCTCTGGAGTATTCACCTTCTTCTTCATCTTCTGCTACTGCCCCGAAATTATCCACTTCAACCAGCACTTGGCAATGGAAATTCAAGGAGAACGCAATAAATGTTTATTTCGAGGAGCTTAAGAATGAGGGAAAAGGAGGGGAAGTTCAGAAAGCTAAGGAAATTTTGATGATTCCCACAATTTCTGATGTTAGCACCGTGGAGGAATGGAGAGAAGTGGCGAAAGACATTGTTGGACGAGATGGGTCGGTTAATTATAAAGCCACTATTGTGGATTGGCCTGGTTTGGGTTTTTCTGATAGGCCTAAGCTCGATTACAACGCGGATGTTATGGAGAAATTCTTTGTTGATTTATTGAACTCTTCAGACAGCCCATTAAGCAGCAGTGCAGGTGGGTAAGGATCACATAATGTTTAAAGTTTGTTACTTTTTTTGAATTCATTTGTTTCCAGCTTATAAATTTGAGTTCTTTTGCTTGTATAACAAAATACTGTCTGTTTTTTGGCTGGTACTTTCGATTGCATTGTTCTATGTGGGTTGGATATGTTAATATAGTTCATGAAGTTTTGATTTTTGATGCATACATACTATTATCTATTCAATTAGGTAGGATTATAACTTTTATTGTAGAAGATTTGCTAAAGTTTAAAACCTTTGGTGTAGAATTGATTCCCGGAGTTACGTTTAATTCAACTTATGGCTGTTTAAGTGTACTCGAAAATTTCTAAAATTCTACTTGTTTGAAGGAATCAGATATATGTAGTAAACTAAGGTTTTCTTGGGTATGATTTCAAAATTTTAGTGTCAAATCTTTCCACCAGTACCTAGCATGCTCGAGCCCTTCTAGCATTTTAGTTTGTTGTGCGCTGACATTATCATTCCCTGCGAAATGTTTGCGTTGCAGGTAATGATTTGGCTGTTTTTGGAGGAGGACATGCTGCCACAATCGCTGTTCGTGCTGTGAATAAGGGTTTAGTTAAACCGAGTGCCATTGCTGCTATTGCGCCAACCTGGGCAGGTCCACTTCCTATTGTGTTTGGAAGAGATTCGACTATGGAATCAAGGTAATACCTTTACATTGTTTGGTGGCACCCTTCCAATGTATCCTTCTGTGGCTCTGTCTTTACTCTTGTGGTTCTTAAGTTATGTTGTATGTAAAAATCATCCTACAACCACTATAAATTTGATGATTGATTAGGCTACTGACAAGTTTCTACATATCTTTTTGGGGTGAGGGCTATTGTTGTGTGTGTGATGTCATGATTGCTGTGTCTGCCTTTCTTGTTTGCTCAGCTATACTCTTGGCAGTCTGGAGAAAGTTCCCGTTAGTTATATTGGTGTACTTTTACCAGAGGAAACTCCAAAAATAGTCCCTCACATATAGCAGACAACTATTTTAGTCATCTGTAGAAAGAAACGTCTTTTCAGTTCCTAACTTTCCTGCTGTGGCTCATTTTGTCCTTAACAACCTACGTGTATAAGAACCCTCCTATTAACATCATAGAATGCATGCCACAACATGTTCAATTGCAAAACTATTACAGTATGTGATAGGCATGGGATGATCCCTGAGTTTACTTTTGTGTTGTTAAAACTTTTATATTATGGCAGCTTCTCCTTCATTTCGCAATGCTGGATTATGAACTGTGACTTGGCATTATTAGCCACCTTCATTAGAAATCTTTTGGTGCATTGGAGTGATTCAGTTTCTGATGTAGTTGAAGTGACCTTAGATACTTTAGAATGGACTTGAATAGTACAAATATCGGAAAGGCGACATTTGATTTTGGCAGATGTTGTTATGTTTTGTTTAAGCTAATTAGCTAAGTTGATCATTGAAATTTTTTTGCCTAGTTGCTTGTACTTTAGATATTCATGAGCTAGGTAATTGAAAACTTTATCTGCCACTAGATGCACTATTATTATTATTATTATTATTTTTTTTTTTGGCAAAATTTTGAGTAGAAGGTTATATCCCTTAAGAATTACATTTTAGCTTAGTTTGTAATTGCTTCTTGAGTTTGGGAATTTAATTTGCAGCGACAAGCATTGGCAATTTGATTATTCATGACGATTGACTTAGTTTTTCCTCTGTTTTTCTGGTTTTACCAGATATGGATTTCTTAGAGGCACATTAAGGGCCCCTGCTGTTGGTTGGATGATGTACAATGTGCTTGTCAGCAATGAGAAGTCAATACAGTCTCAGTATAAATCCCATGTTTATGCAAACCCTGAAAATGTGACCCCAAGTATAATAGAGAGCAGATATGAACTCACAAAAAGGTCAGGTGCTAGATACGTGCCTGCTGCATTCTTGACTGGTTTACTTGACCCGGTAAAGTCTAGAGACGAATTTGTTGACCTCTTTGCAAAACTTGAGGGAGAGATTCCGGTTTTAGTAGTGTCAACTAAAGGTGCTCCCAAGAGGTCCAAAGCTGAGATGGATGCACTCAGGGGAGCTAAAGGAGTAAGCAAATTTGTTGAATTGCCTGGTGCCCTCCTTCCTCAAGAAGAATATCCTATCGTGGTAGCTGAAGAGCTCTATCGATTTTTGCAAGAGAATTTCAGTTGAGAGTATTCTACAAGATATGTGCTTCATCATGGGTAACAACTTATGAACTTTCTCATTGTTTACCCCTTATACATGTTTTTCTTGGGTGTTATAGATTATACATATGTGCACAGTTCATGTTTATCATCAAATGAAATTTGAAAAGTCTGTCTTACACTTTAAATCATAAGTGAATGGATTTGCTTCTCAGAGAGCATTTGTGTTCGACACACTGTAATTGTAATATTAGTGAACCTGGTGATGCGGTATTATCCATGGTGTAGTTAAAACCAAAAACCTACAAAGAACTTGTGAATGGATCTGTTAGTTGCTCTTATACTGCGACAGCAATGTGGTTAATCTGTATTTTCGCTTGTTTAGTTAGCATACAGACTAGAATTTATAGATAAATGAACGTCATTTTACTGATGGAATACGACTAGAGCACTGAAATTGATGCATGTTGAGTTTGCTGCTAAGAAGTTAAACATAGGTTGGTAACGAAGGACACATACACATGTACAACAAAAATTGAAAACACATTCATCAACAATTGTTGAAGAACTAATGAAGTAGCTCCAACATAAGCTCAAGTGAATCTGTAATCGATTCGTTGAAGATACTGAACAAAGCCGATATACTTGTCACGAGGAGGTGTAGTTTCTTTCACCACAGGGAGGAGGTTTAGAGCTTCAACCCATTTGAGAATGAGTGGATTTCGTTGAGGAACAAGAATTATAACACCTAAAAGCTTCTTCTTGTGCCTTGTGAGAACCAAAAGTTGCAGCTATATGATATCTAAAATCCCTAGCTTTTCAGCATTGATACCAACAATTCCATCTGGAAAGAAATACTTACTTCATCCCATTTTCTAATATCACTAGGTTCTCGTGCAGGCTAATGATTTTTTAGCTTTCTATTTTCAAGTTGCAATCTTAATCTTAATAGTCCTTTCGTTCCACCTTACGACACATCAGTGTAAGTTTATTATATTCATTATCTTTGAAATTATGTGCAGGCTTTTGTTTTGAAATGCCGGAAACCCATTGAAGACGAGCAAAACTCACGTTCATGGCAAAATCCTGTAAAATCGGTATAGCAAATATTTATGTTCTCCATCGATCTTAGAATGATTATCTTGTTTATCATTTGATAAAATAATAAAATAAATATGACAATCATTTTGATAGAGTGAGTTGTATATAAAAACATATGCAATTGTTTATCGTTTTAAATATATCACCAGTTTCCCAAATTACGCGCACACTTATATTAATTTTAGTCAAGAAGATGATGAGTCTTAATCTGGTTTTAAAAACCACGCAAAAACTATATGCAATATTTCACTATATCAAAAAAAATAAAACGCTTTTTTTCAACTTAACTGAATCCTCTTCTGCAAACCAAAGGAAAAAAAGACAAATAGACATAATCCAATGGACTATATATATATACATATATAGTGACTACATTCATGTTTCTTGTCTCTTCTCTAATAATAAAGGAAAAAATGGTCAAATGGGAATAGTACTATGATGTTTATATTAAAGTATCCTTTGTCTATGTTAAGATATTAAACATAAAAATATGCATCGGTAATATAAAAAGTGGATTAAAAAAGGTAATGGGAGGGTTAGGTGGGACAAGTAAGGGTTAAAATTAGAGTGACTATTATCGGTGAGGTTCGGTAAGGTGGTTAAGAGAGAATTAGGATGAGAGATTTTGATTCTCGGTTGAATCATTTTTATTTTTTTTTGAAAAAAAAGACTGAATAGTGGACTAATTTTTATTTTTAAAAAGAAAAACCTTCATTAGGTGCAACTGTAATAATAAGCAAACATAGCCTGGATTATTTAATTGTTGATTGATGGATGAGAATCTCATTAGTTCGACGGTCCTTGTTATTGATGTGATTTCTGAATATCCAAATTGATTAAATACTGATCAAGCTTAAAAAACAAACCCTCAGTTAACATCCTCTTTTTATTCATATTGATATTTAAGTAATTTACAAATGGTTTAATCACTGTTGGTAATAATAGACACTGCTCTATATGTAAAGAAAAAATAAAATTGAGGTTTTAAAAAAATTCTGATTTGGACAACATGGGGAACTGACGAAGTTATTGCAATAGTCACATGATTTTCACTCGAGACTAACCAAATTTGATTGGTATCAATATGGCAATGTTAATTTTATATGTATATATACTTTATAAATAGCAAGTTTCGTCCATTCTCTTAACTTTTTTACATAACTTAAAAGGGAAAACTGTTGGATATTTTTAATGATACTTATCCTTTATATAAATTTAATAAATCAAATATTATGGCCTTTTTTTCTTTTGTAGAAAGGTAAATTATTATTTCTCAATGTCAACAATGGTCTTTTTCTTAAAAGACATTTTCTGAAGAAGCATTAAAAGAGAACCCTTTAATTTTAAGCAAAATTTAATGGCTAAAACATATATTTTTTACATTCAAAATGTGAACAATTTTTTATTTCATCAATAGAATTAGCAAAACAATGAAGAAGTTGTCAAAGTATATAAATTCCTTGGGCTCCCATGCATTTCAAAACTAATTGGCAATGAGTAGGGTGATCTTTGGCACTTATATACAGAGTTATTTCTCATTTCGATGGCGATGTGGGACAGATTATACACCTTAACAAAAGTCAACTTTAAACAATTCCAGTTTCTTCTAGACTTGAAATACAATGTCCATTTTATATCATCTTTATGTGATTTGAATTTGATTTATGATTGGGCTGTGAATAATTTCCTTTGACGCCTTTTGTTAGTGGTGAGGATAAATTGGTGTAACAAAGAAGAAGTCAGACTTGAGATCCACTAAACTAATCATGTTCTTTAAGAGATGTAAAAAAAATTTGTTACGAAGACAGCTCTGATGTAACTGATGACCAATTCCTTTCAGATCTTTCTTCTTTTAATACCAAGCCTATTCTTCAGTTCTGGTGACCACTCTCTTAGAAGTGTCTCCATTTCGGATCTTATAAGTGGACGATCAATGCTAAAAAGGTATGTAGACGGTAGAAAATATATATTAATACTTCTTACATCCTAAAATTATTGTTTAATTTGAATTTTAGTTTTTAATTTAATTTATATTAAAATTTAAAATATAAATTGAACAATAATTTCGAAACGGAGAAATATTAACGTGCGTACTCAAGACGCCGAATAGCTCATGTCGAGAGGAATGACCTTTATAGCTTGAAAATCATGTATATACTAATACTTCTCTTAAATAGTGCTTCATTAAAGAAGACTTTTAAAAATAATGAATGATATCGACAAGTCCACAAAGAAATAGTGCTTCATTAAAGAAGACTTTTAGAAAAAGTAAGGAGACGTTTCATACACGCCAGGAGACTTTCTTTTGTGCAATATTCCAATGTTAAATAGCCAAAGATTAGGTGAATAATAGTTTTTTGTTTTTAAGTTTTTAATTTTTTGGGCGATGCATAAAAATTTACTTAGCATGAATAAATAGTACATAAATGGTATTGGATCGTAGTGATTTCTAGACATTGTAGTTTCAGCTAGATTTTTAATTATGTTTGCACAATTTTTTTAAAAAAAATAAAAAAATAAAAAATAAAAATACTAGGGAAATTCCCAAAAATACATCCATAAACAAAATAATCAACGTGACATTAAGCGGAAACTTTTATACTACTTTTAAGAGACTGATCGAATACAATATACCACAAATTCTTTATTTACCTGTGTATTATGCAATGCAATAAAAGCAACAATGCAGAAAGCACAATCAAAACATATATTAAGACCTTGTGAGAATATGAGAAACTCGAAAATCGAAAATCGAATTGTGTGGTTTTTCTATACCATGATTAGGTAGGAATTGAGGCGGGCCAGATTTCATCAATGTAACCAATAATGAAGATCCTCTCAATTATTAATTTCCCATTAAGAACAATGACGAGAACCTTCCCTTGAATTTTTTTTTTTTGGATTTGATTGAAGAAGAAATCTGCTCTTGTTACTCAAATTTTCTTCTACATTTTCAAAACACCAGGGATGCCTATGATTTTCAGGCTAATTGTGCCCTCGTCGCAAAATCCCAAATCCAATGTAGAATTACTTTCTTTTCCTTTGCCTTATTAATTTTCTTCTTGATCGGGATCCGTTAATTTTCTTTCTGAGAAACATTTTATAAGTATCAGAGATTACATGTGGACAGGATTTATAAAAGAAGAGATAATACAATTACGGAATGGCGGGAGAAATTACACGCGACTATACCTTGATCCGGTGATTGAAATACCTCTTAATTATCCTTTCCAGTCCAGCATTAAAAAAGAAAAAACGTAATGCTTGTTCTCTAGGTATTTTCTGGGCTTCTTTCCTCTGATCATCAGAAAATGTGAAATGGTATGATTAATACATATTGATATGGTTATTCGATTAATATATATTACTACAATTATTTGGTTTGAACTTTGAAGGTCTTTGTAAGTGACAGCTTATTTAGCTATATCACTTCTATCTTCAATTAATTACTAAATACTTGTCCCGGGCGAATGCCCGGGGATCACCTGACATTTAATACAGTTCAGTGATAAAATAAATTATTAGAAAGGGAATAATACTTCTTATAAGGTGTTCAAACATATTTTATTTTAATAAAGAATCAGATTAGATTTTACATTCATCAAAATAATAAGCCGTTTAAATGAAAATTGTTCGATTGACCATTGGACAACACTAAAACGTTGTCTCTAGCTAACTGGTAGTATATAGATACAAATATATATTTAATTTAGGAGAGGAAGCAGCTAACTAGTTGCCAAATACACCTGCAAAAACAACAGGAATACGAACAGGTTATCAGGCCAAAATATAACAAAAAATAAATGCTCATGAATATATTTTCGGAGAGACAACGTAACATTTATTTTGTGCTTCTCTGCCCTACAAAGTCAGCAAGAGTTGGGATATTGGCTGTTCAAGTTAAATTCCATAAGTAAAGCAGCAAAATATCACATGTATTTTTTCTTTTATGATTACAGAGAATTTACAAATTTACACAAACACCACCAATAACCGACTGTTGTAGATAGAACAAACTTCACTTTAGGAGTATCAAAATAGATTACAATACTCTTATGACTACACTGATTAATGGATTATCACTTTAACATTAGGTAAGCCAGTTAGAGTGCACAAAAGATTACTACAAAAGGTATAGTAATTTCGATGAGTCAACACTTAAAGCGATTTCAGGAGTTTTAACCATAACACCAATTGAAATTACATTTACAATGCCACATTAAGTGTACAAAGAGCATCTAAATAAGCAATATAACGGTTTTGTCTCAGTCAGAATTCTCAAACCTAAAACCTGTGTCAAATGCATATTTGAAACCCCAAGAGAAAGAAACTCTATGATAAAAGTAGAGATTCCAATGTTTGTTATTACATACAACATCATCTTGGCATAAAGCTACCCGAAACATGAAGTTCTTTCGTAATTCTCTAATCTGAAAAGAAAGAAAGAAAATGCAGATGAGGACCGATGATAGTTTAAACTTGATCCATCTTTAAAAAACACTAAAAGTAAAGTAGCATACAACTATGAATTCCCAAAATTGATAACTTCTTGTATGCTATGTTAAGAAATTAAAAGAAGAAATACCCAGTTCAATTGACTGTGGCCCTTGGTAAGAAGAACAATCTGATCGTTTAGGATCCTTCTACTGTGAGCTTTGAAACAAAGCCAAAGAAACAAAGCCAGAGAATCTGTTGATGGACTTGACAAATTAAGTAACCAACCACTTTAAACAGAAGACACCAAACACTATAAAGAGAGAGTTTGACAAAAACCTTAAAACAATGCAAAGATGGAAATTTCACTAATCAAATCAAAACCCTTTCTTTGCAAACAACACAAAATTAGTGCATTAAAAAACCTACAATCATTATTTGGTTTCTCTAAGTTTCAAACTAAATGTAATCTGAAGCTAATGTAAAACAACCCAGCAGTATGAAAATGATCTGCAGAATCAAATAACATAATTTATTTTTTAGTAAAAAAGAGCTACTTTAGGACCCATGGTCACTTTAGCAGCTTCAGCGAGCTCCTCGACTCCCTGAAGCAACACAAACCGTACTTTGACCCCACAATTAAAGGAAGGGAATAAAAATCGAAAAAGAGTGCTTTATAATTCAAATTCATAACCATTATCAATTCTCTCGAATGGATCAATATCATTATCAAAGTGACAGTCTTCCAGTATCAATATACATATATTCATCAACCATCATCATCATTATCATTATCATCTAAGAAAAGAAAACACAATTTCCCCAGTTTCATCGAAGCTTTGAGCTCCTTCCTTCACCTCTTTCAAGGATAGGGCAGATTTAAATTTAGATTCGCCATATTCGTTGTGACCCGAATACGCCGGTGCTGCAATGATCCTGATTCGACTTCCACTCTGAATCAGAACCACCGGGGGATGATTTTCGGTCAGGCGGCGGCGGTGCCGTCGTCGTTGGCTTCTGTTTATTCCCCTTTCAATTTGGATATAGGCGAAAGGCAGCCCACTTTGGAGTAGATGATATTCCAATTGGAGATGGAAGAGGCGGCTTCCAGAAGGGCAAAATTTCTCGACGAAAGTTACCCTCGATTTTCTCTGGACAGAAAAGATGTCATTTACCGATTTCTTTCTGGATGAAGTATGAAGAGAGTTTGACGGAAACTACATTTGAATTTTGATTTTACTGATTCAATGGAAAGATTGTCGGGAGGATTGCGTTGTGGAACCTATCCATCCGGAGATTTTTTGGGATGAATTTGAAGTTTATTTTTTGACACCCGTTTACATTGCTGAAATTGGGGGTGAGTTTATGCTGATAGAGCTGAAAATTGGGGATTCTTTCATCTTTTTATTTATCTTAACTTTTTCACTATAACTGTTCTATTTATTTGGGACCATTTTAGGAACTATTTTCCTGAATATATCTTGTCCTACGTGTCAAAAATTATTTTGTACTGGAAAAAAAAACTTTTTAGCGGGAAAAAAATAAACGTAAAGTTGATACATGTCCTTCTTGTATGTTGGTTTAATTAATTACAACCATGGATACTCCCTTTCTCCCAAAATTATTGTCTAGTTTGGGTTTTCATTTTTAGTAGAAATTGAACTAGAATTTAAAACTAAAATCGGACAATAATTTTGAAATGGAGAGAATCATACTAAACACCATGCTCAGCCATCAAAATCATCCGTCCACTAACTATAGTATTATTTTTTTGGTAAGGGTCCCCTAATTATTAATAAGTTATGATTTGCAGGATTTGTTGAAATCCATCGATCATTCAGGAAACAGATAATGTCAAAGATACTGGTTGTCAGCTTGAATTGTAGTTTAAATTTAATTAACCAGCAAGCCAAATAATACTGTTCTTCTAAAAGAATTGCTTTACTGACTCTGAGGCCTACGGAAAAAAACTTCATCTTTGAATGATATCCCTCATACGAGTGTGCATGGTACACAAAGTTAAACAGATGATTATTTGTATAGCCGTTTTAAGACCATCGTTACTTTTCTAACCTTTCTATCAAATGAGTATCTATTTCGTCTATTCGAGAAAAATGAAACTGGTGTTGCTTCCACGATTGTTGGCAAAAGATAATAAAAGGAATAATAAATTTATGCTGCATTTGTAAATACTAATTCTTTAATCCGGGAAGTCTTAATTAACACATCCCTACAAAGGCTTGTTTATTTAGAATTTTTGTCTTTTTGAACATCATTTCAAATGAAATACCCAACAGCGTAATTTGCACTAGGATTAAAATAATCACATTCTGAAGATCAAATGCTTGCAATTCCATCCCAATAACCCCAACACACACACACACACACACACATACTCCACTACGGCACACCACCCAATCCAAAAGAACAATGCTTTAAAAAAATAAATATTTAATTTCATTAATCATACAAAAAATTGTCTACCGACAATTAACAAAAAAGAAATTATAGTAAATAAAAACATTACAACGGGTAAACAATAGAATCTATGAATCAAACCGTTGCAAAAACCGACATAATCGATTTTCTTTTGATGGGCTTATCACGTACCATTATCATACTTCTAAAGTTACAATTCATAGATGTGATAAGTAGATCCATGATGACTGCATGTTCTCTTATCAAGTGAATCTGAAATTGATTTTCTGAAGGTATTGCAGAAAGCCAACAAACTTGTCTTGGGGTGGGGTAATTTCTTTCACCACAGAGAGTTGGTTTACGGTTTCCACCCATTTCACCATGAGCGGGTTTCTTTCCGGATCAAAAATTTTGACACCTATGGCTTCCTCCATAGCCTTGAAGAAACCAAAGCTGGAAACCATCATAATATCCAAGATCCCAAGTTTTTCAGCACTTATATCAATAGTTCCGCCTGGAAAGAATTCTTCTTTCATCCCATTTTCTAATACCACAAGCTTCTCTTGCACCTCCGCAAGGCCTTCTTTTTGCGTTTCCATGTCCAAAGTGTAGAGCTTTCCTGTGTTTTCTAGTATCTACAATTTGAAACTCAACAAATGAATCCATAACTAGTAACAAACAATAATACTCTCTCCGTCCCAAAATTATTGTCTACTTTGAGATTTCACTTTTAGTACATTTTTAACTAGAAATGAAAATCCAAACTGGACAATAATTATGGGATAGAGGGAGTACAATTTACTAAAAAAAAAAAAACAAAAACAATTAAGAATGTTAGAAAAGAAAAAGGAAGCAAACGACAAAAACATGATATATATACAATATACCTTTTGAATGTAAGCAACCCAGAAACGAATCCTGGCTCTTTCAAAGGGATCTCTTGGCAGGAGTTGAGGTCCCATATCCGGCCAGGTTTCATCAATATATTCAACAATGATAAGTGATTCAATGATGAATTTTCCATTATGAACTAGGACGGGAACTTTTTTATAAAGTGGGTTGGATTCAAGAAGAAATTGGCTCTTGTTAATCAAATTTTCTTCGACATATTCAAAAGGAATGCCTTTGATTTTCAGGGCCAATTGCACCCTCTTCACAAAAGGGCTTGCCCAATGCCCATGAACAGTTACTTGGCCTTCCGGTTGAACCATCGTTTCTTTTCTAATTTGCAAGTTGCAACTTCAATTGGCACAGAACAATTTATGATATTCGAAATTCTAAAACAAAGGTTTTCTTACATTTATAGGCACTACTAGTCAAGATGGCAATTCTCAAACAAAGGTTTTCTTACTTTTATAGGCACTACTAGTCAAGATGTTGCTCAGTTAAACACGGACTGTTGATCGTTTTTGTACGTTGCGGTCAACACTGGTTTGCTGTTAGAATTTGTTGACTAAAAAAGTGATGATTTAAAAACTTACCAAATTCATCTCATATACTTGTCATTCACTCGCTGGTTAACATTGTTTAATTAATGACATCAATAATCGCTGAATGACACGCAAGATAAGATAGTACAAAGGTGAGTGGAATTCAGCAAGATAGTAACCGTAAATACAAATAGTCAAAATGGTAATCGCATAAAATGCCATTCATTTAATAACGTTTGCTGCTTAGATATGCAAGTTTGAATTCAGCGCTTTTGGACATTACAATTTGAAATCTTCTACAATTAGACAACGAATGTTAATTTATGCCATTCGAATATGTTTTACTCTTTTTTTTTTTTTTTCTGATAATGAATATGATTTTGCTTGATCGTGAATTAAATTCCCTGAATTTTTATATGCTGATGATTTGATGTTTTGCAGCCTCCTTTTATTTATTTGTTGAGGACCGGTAAAGTTTTAATTATTTAATTAATTAAATTATATGGCTAGATTCATGCAACAAAGAATAGTCATTCCTGCTGAAAATACATCGGACTAATATCTTCTACGGTAAAATGTATTTTTTTAAAACAAAACAAAAATTTCCAATCCAAATTACACTAAGGCATACAGCTTTTTAAACGTTTACTTGGAAAATCCCGAGATAATTCTAAACCTGGCTATAAACTTTTCGCACATTGTTATTTATGTCCTTTTGGAAACTTAGTTTGTTTTAGAACAAACGTGGTCCTAGCTTGATGGTATGTTGTCTAGTATTTCCGAAACAAAAGAAAATGGTGTTTCCAAAAGAATTTCAAAAAGTAAAATTTGCTCTCTACTATCTCTCTAAAAATTTGCTCCAACCTCTCTTTAGACCTTTTTACCCACTTAGTCAACCTAACCCACATGTCAACCTCTCCGCCCAATTTAGAACCTGATGGAGGCGGCGCTCCACCTTCCATGAATTTTGAACCTGAAACAGCCATCAAAGCAACTCCCCCTCCCCCCCTCCTCACCTCCCATTGACCCTCGATCAACAAAAAAATCAAGACACACTGAAAGCCAACCAACCCAAAACCAATTTCCGCAGAACCAAGTGCCACCCATGAGCTTTCGTGATTGGATGATGAAGGGGAAGAAGGTCATGGACCTATCCCTGTTTGATGATGATGAGGGATTCAAAATCTCAGAGGAGGATGTGCAACTGGAGGACTCCAATTCGACATGCAAGAAAGTGTTTGTGTCAGAGGAGATGGAAGCCAGACTTTGTAGAAATTGGAAGAATGTATTAATCTTAAAGCCAATGGGAAGGTCCATTAGTTATCTAAATTTGTGCAATAAATTACAGGAGAACTGGGATGAGATTTGCCTTAATGGATCTTGAAAGGGATTACTTGCGAAATTTCGAAATGCAGGGGATTGTCAGAGAATTCTCAACTCGTGTCCTCTCTATTTCTACGGGGCTTATTTTCATGTCCGAGAATGGGACAATTCCTTCGACCCGGTAACTGACCGCGTCAAAAGCTTGACTATGTGGGCAAGGATGCTAGGATTCCCAGTTCATTACTACAACAAAAACTTTCTCTGGTACATTGGTACCCTATTGGGAAGGGTAGTGCAAATTGACCACCAAACTGCAGCCAAATCAAGGGGAATGTTCGCTCGAATGGCGATGGAGGTGAATTTGGAGAACCCTTTGTGTCAGGAGTTGGATATGAAGTACAGAAAGCAAAAAGTAGAGTATGAGAATCAGCCTTGCATTTGTGCTTTCTGTGGCAGAGCAGGGCATCTAGTAGCAAGTTGCCCTTTCAATCCGCAAAAATCGCCGGAACTGGCACCTCCGCCGGCAACAGGATCGAGTCACTCTATGGCCAATAAGGCGGCATAAAACTGGCGATGGCCCACTGGAGAGTGGGTGTCTATTCCCACAAAGGGAAGGCGGGGACCGGATAAGACAAAGTCCAGTAGACAAAGGATCGACCTCTACACAAGCACGTGGTACTAAATTTGACTTATTGATTAGCCTTGGTGACGATGGTGAAGAAGACCAGCTGGGGGCAGCAGTACCTGAAAAGATGGATGATGAAAGCAACAAAACATCGACGCCACCTACTCAATCACTGTCATTCCTAGGTGCTCGGAAAGCATCAACACGTGAACAAATCTCCTCTACCAGGGGTGGAGCCCGCCCGCTACCAAAAACCCAGAAAAAACCAAACATGAGCCATAACCCTACAGAAATGGCCCAGAACTCTGCCACTCCCACCCAACAACAAGCCCAACAAGTTGCCTCTAATCCAATTTCGTTCCAAACAGCTGAAACCCAGAAAGCCCCACAAGCTCAAAAAGAATTCACAGCCCACTTAGCACCTACCACCCTGGACCTGCCAACCACCAAGTGATTTCTTTCGCTCCCAAAGATAACCCAAACCACGTTAGTGACCCTCCCCAAATTAACCAAGAACCCCAAAGCACTGTGTGAAACACAATCCCACACCCCATGAAAGAAGGGGAAGAAAGTCATGGACCTATCCCTGTTTGATGATGATGAGGAATTCAAAATCTCAGAGGAGGATGTTTAACTGGAGGACTCCAATTCGACATGCAAGAATGTGTTTGTATCGGAGGAGATGGAAGCCAGGCTTTGTAGAAATTGGAAGAATTTATTAATCTTAAACCGATGGGAAGGTCCATTACTTATCTAAGTTTGTGCAATAAATTACAAGAGAACTGGAATCAGATTTGCCTTAATGGATCTTGAAAGGGATTACTTCCTCGTGAAATTTCGAAATGCAGGGGATTTTCAAAGAATTCTCAACTCGGGTCCTCTCTATTTCTACGGGACTTATTTTCATGTCCGGAAATGGGACAGTTTCTTCGACCCGGTAACTGACCACGTCAAAAGCTTGACTGTGTGGGCAAGGATGCCAGGATTTCCGGTTCATTACTACAACAAAAACTTTCTCCGGTACATTGGTACCCTATTGGGAAGGGTAGTGCAAATTTACCACCAAACTGCAGCAGAATCAAGGGGAAACTTCACTCGAAGGGCGATGGAGGTGAATTTGGAGAACCCTTTGTGTCAGGAGTTGGATATGAAGTAGAGAAAGCAAAAGGTAGAGTATGAGAATCTGCCTTGCATTTGTGCTTTCTGTGGCAGAGCAGGGCATCTGATAGCAAGTTGCCCTTTCAATCCGTAAAAATTGCCGGAACCGGCACCTCTGCTTATGACAGGATCGAGTTACTCCATGGCCAATAAGGCGGCAGAAAACTGGCGATAGCCCACTGGAGAGTGGGTGTCTATTCCCATAAGGGGAAGGCAGGGATCGGAGAAGACAGAAAGTCCAGCGGACAAAGGATCGACCTCTACACAAGCACGTGGCACTAGATTTGACTTATTGATTAGCCTTGGTGACGATGGTGGAGAAGACCAGCTGGGGGCAGCAGTACCTGAAAAGATGGATGATGAAAGCGACAAAATGTCGACGCCTCCTACTCAATCACTGTCATTCCTAGGCGCTCGGAAAGCATCAACACGTGAACAAATCTCCTCTGCCAAGGGTGGAGCCTGCCCGCTACCAAAAACCCAGAAAAAACCAAACATGAGCCATAACCCTACAGAAATGGCCCAGAACTCTGCCACTCTCACCCAACAACCAGCCCAACAAGTTGCCTCTAACCCAATTTCGTTCCTAACAGCTGAAACCCAGAAAGCCCCACAAGCACAAAAAGAATTCACAGCCCATTTAGCACCTACCACCCTGGACCTGCCAAGCACCAAGTGATTTCTTTCGCTCCCAAAGATAACCCAAACCACGTTAGTGACCCTCCCCAAATTAACCAAGAACCCCAAAGCACTGTGTGAAACACAATCCCACACCCCATGAATGAAGGGGAAGAAGGTCATGGACCTATCCCTGTTTGATGATGATGAGGAATTCAAAATCTCAGTGGAGGATGTTCAACTGGAGGACTCCAATTCGAAATGCAAGAACGTGTTTGTGTCGGAGGAGATGGAAGCCAGGCTTTGTAGAAATTGGAAGAATGTATGAATCTTAAACCGATGGGGAGGTCCATTAGTTATCTAAGTTTGTGCAATAAATTACAAGAGAACTGGGATGAGATTTGCTTTAATGGATCTTGAAAGGGATTACTTCCTCGCGAAATTTTGAAATGCAGGGGATTGTCAGAGAAATCTCAACTCGGGTCCTCTCTATTTCTACGGGGCTTATTTTCATGTCCAGGAATGGGACAGTTTATTCGACCCGGTAACTGACCACGTGAAAAGCTTAACTATGTGGGCAAGGATGCCAGGATTTCCGGTTCATTACTACAACAAAAACATTCTCTGGTACATTGGTACCCTATTGGGAAGGGTAGTGCAAATTGACCACCAAACTGCAGCCAAATCCAGGGGAAAGTTCACTCGAATGGCGATGGAGGTGAATTTGGAGAACTCTTTGTGTCAGGAGTTGGATATGAAGTATAGAAAGCAAAAGGTAGAGTATGAGAATCTGCCTTGCATTTGTGCTTTCTGTGGCAGAGCAGGGCATCTGGTAGCAAGTTCCCTTTCAATCCGCAAAAATCGCCAGAACCGGCACCTCTGCTGGCGACAGGATCGAGTCACTCCATGGCCAATAAGGTGGCAAAAAGCCGGCGATAGCCCACTGGCGAGTGGGTACCTATTCCCACAAGGGGAAGGCGAGGATCGGAGAAGACAGAAAGTCCCACGGACAAAGGATCGACCTCTACACAACCACTTGGTACTAGATTTGACTTATTGATTAGCCTTGGTGACGATGGTGGAGAAGACCAGTTGGGGGCAGCAGTACGTGAAAAGATGGATGATGAAAGCGACAAAAGATCGGTGCCTCTTGTTCAATCACTGTCATTCCTTGGCGCTCGGAAAGCATCAACACGTGAACAAATCTCCTCTGCCAAGGGTGGAGCCCGCCCACAACCAAAAACCCAGAAAAAACCAAACATGAGCCACAACCCTACAGAAATGACCCAGAACTCTGCCACTCCCACCCAACAACCAGCCGCCCAACAAGTTGCCTCTAACCCAATTTCATTCTAAACAGCTGAAACCCAGAAAGCCCCACAAGCCCAAAAAGAATTCACAGCCCACTTAGCACCTACCACCTTGGACCTGCCAAGCACCAAGTGATTTCTTTCGCTCCCAAAGATAATCTAAACCACGTTAGTGACCCTCCCCAAATTAACGAAGAACCCCAAAACACTGTGTGAAACACAATCCCACACCCGATGAATGACGTCCCCCCCCCCCGACCTTGTTCTGGGAAAAGGATTCAAGACCTATGATAATCCGGTGGGGATGGAGTTGCAGACAACTAAGGAGGATGGTGGTGGTGAATATCATATGGCTAAAATCGCTAATGTTGAAGCTGCGATTTCTCCTTCTGATTAAGCATCCTTGGGTTTCGATTCTTTGTAAATAGTTTTATTAATGAGTCTCAAATTACTTTATTGGAATGTGCAAGGTGCACGGTCAGAGCAATTTCAAAGCAAGTTTAAAGAGTTGATGTCTCAGTATTGCCCCGATATAGTGGCAGTGATGGAACCAAGAATCCGAGGGAAAGACGTGGACGATTTTGTTAGGCGCAGTAAACTTGTTCTTCTTGTAGGATTGAAGCTGCGGGTTTTGCAGGTGGAATATAGGTCCTTTGGAAGGATTGGGTTGATGTGGAAATCCTTAAATTACATTGGTAATTTATCCACACGCGGGTCATGGTAGGAGTTGAAAGTTGCTTGGTGACTTTTGTTTATGCCTCACCACAATCAACAGTAAGAGAAGACCTGTGGATGGAATTGCATAAATTAGCTGTTGATATTGAAGAACCTTTGCTGTTGGGGAGTGACCTCAATTGTACTTTCCCTGAATCGGAAAGAAGAGGGGGAGGGCGCCCAACCTCAGTGGCCCTTGTAAACTGTTTGCTGATTGGATGGAGAATGCGGGAATGTTGGAGCTTCAAACGTTGGGTTCAAAATTCACTTGGAACCTAGGTAACCTGCTAAAGAGACTTGATCGTTTTGTATCAAATGACTAATGGATTGCTAAATACCCGTTTGCAGTTTGCCAACATCTACCAAGAGTCGGTTCAGACCACAATCCCCTGTTCGTGTGTGTTAAAGGTCCCGATAAGCAGACAAGTCGGCCTCCTTCCCAGATGCAGTACAAAACTTCACTAAAGCGGTGGAGACTTGGAACATTGAAACTTTCGGAAACATCTTCCAAAGAAAAAAGTGAATTCTAGCATGCATCGGTGGCATTCAAAGGGTCAGGGAGAGATACTATTCCAAGAAACTGGATGACCTTGAGAAAGAACTGATTAAGGACCTGGAGGTGATAATTTCCCAAGAAGAACTTCTATTAATTCAAAAATCATCACGAGAATGGTCGATCCACGGGGATAGGAACATGAAATTCTATCACTCTTTTGTTAGGGGCTGTCGCAGGAGGAGTAGGGTGGCAGCTTTATTAAACAAGGCTGGAGAAATGGAGTCGGATCAAGGTAAACTTGGGGAGATGGCTTTGAATTTCCTGAAGAATTTATACACCACAACTCCGAGTCCCACGGAGCCTTACTCAAGTCGGAGTCCCTTCCCTTTATTGAGGAGTGAACTGAAACATGAAATGCTTGCTGAAGTTAGTGAAGAGGAGATCCATCGAGCTCTGAAAGAGATGCACCCTCTAAAGGCGCCGGGGGCTGATGGTTGTAATGCCATGTTTTATCAAAAATAGTGGAAGTCGGTGGGTTCCTCTCTTTGTAATCTGGATCAAAATGTAATCCAGGAAGGGGGCAGCATTGAAGATCATAACAGAACCTTCATTGTGTTTATTCCTAAACTAGAAAATCCTAACACAATCAAGGACTTTCGCCCAATAAGTCTTTGCAACACCGTTTATAAGCATGTCACAAAGGGTTAGCAAATAGAGTTAAACCGGCGCTTCCGGAGTTGATTGGGCCAGCCCAAGTGAGCTTTGTACCGGGACGCCATATAGCCAACAACATCATCCTTGTGCAAGAGGCCATCCATTCGATGCAAACAATGAAGGGGAGAAAACGTTTTATCGCAATAAAAATTGATTTGAAAAAGGCCTATGATATGGTGCACTGGGACTTTGTTGAGGATACACTTGACCAAGCGGGTTTTCCAACTAACTTGGTACGAAGCATCATGCGTTGCATCACCTTGGCTTCTTTGCAAGAACTATGGAATGGTATCCCATTGGAGGAATTCAAACCCTCTCGTGGCATAAGACAAGGTGACCCAATTTCACCTTATATCTTTGTGTTGTGTATGGAAAGACTTGCCCACACGATACAAGAAAAGGTGAACCGGGGGGAATGGAAGGCACTATAGTTTCGTCGGTCAAGGTTCAAACTCTCGCTGCTACTTTTTGCAGATGATGTCATACTCTTCTTGGAGGCATCTCACAGCCAAGCGGCCTTGTTGAAAATCATCTTGGAGCAATTCTGCCATGCTTTTGGGCTGCGAGTAAGTGAGCCTAAGACAATAATATTCTTCTCCAAAATTGTGGGTTCCGGGCAAAGGAGACAGCTAGCTGGCCAGTTGGGGTTTAAAGCTGTTGCCAATTTGGGCAAGTACCTTGGGGTTCCCTTGATTCACGGCCGAGCGAACAATCACACCTATGAGCATATCATCGAAAAAGTTCGTAGGCGGTTGGCGGGCTGGAATACTACATCCCTATCCTTTGCGGGGAGGGTGACTCTTGTGAAGTCAGTTCTTTCAACTTTACCGTATTACAATATGCAAACGGCGATGCTCCCTAACAAAATGTGTGAAGGAATCGAAAGACTTTGTTGCCATTTTATTTGGGGAGGAAATGAGGATACGGCCAAATTGAGTCTTGTGGCATGGGATGATATTTGTGTTTCAAAACATGTTGGGGGCCTGGGAATTAGGAAGCCCAAAATGATGAACAAGAGTCTGCTAATGAAGTTGGGTTCGATGGTTATAAGGGGAAAGCAGGCCTTTTGGGTGAAGGCTTTGGAAGCCAAATATGGGCCAGCCGATCTAATCAGCCTAGGAGCGAAAAAGTCCACCAAACGTTCGGCGGTTTTCAACTCCATCCAGAAAATCTAGAAGCCCTTGGTTCAGGCGATCCGATGGAGTGTGAATCATGGATACCTCATCAAGTTTTCGACTGATTGTTGGACCCCAGGTACAGGCCCATTATGCGAGAAAGCTCGGACCCAATTCCACCGAACCAATTGTTGTGGGGTGAATAAATTTGTTAATTAACGAAGGAGGAAGTTGGAGATGGGAACTCTTTCAGCACCTCTTGCCGGCGATGGAAGTCATGAAAGTCGCCGCCATTTGTCTGCTGCAACCAGAACAGGGAATCGACAGATGCATCTGGCCACACGCTAGTACCGGCAAATTCACTACTTCATCAGCTTATAAATTTTTGGTGCAACAGGGGGCGGATAGGAATCATCCTCTGTGGCGGGCGGTGTGGTCCTGGCCCGGACTGGAACGGATAAAATCTTTCTTATGGCAAGTAGCAAGGGGGAGACTGATGACTAACCTTGAAAGATGCCGCCGAACTTTGGCGGATTCCCCGTCTTGCCCTAGATGCGATGCAGCTGAAGAGTCCATTCTCCACGTCCTGAGAGATTGCCCGTCGGCGAGAGCCATCTGGGACCGTCTTCAACCGAGGGGTTCAGTGGGAGAGGAATTTTGGCAGGAGGATCTAAAATCATGGTTATTCCATAATTTGTTGAATGCTAGAGCAAACTCGATGAAGTGGGCATTGACATTTGGGATAGCTATTTGGAAAATTTGGGCCTAGTGTAATGAATTGATTTTTAGAAATTCTTGGAAATCTGTTGACCGAAAAGTTTGGGAGATTGAGATGAAGGTTGTAGAAATGAAGGAGGCTCTGATGCTACAAAAAAGAGTAGGAAACCTGGCACCACTGAGGGAATAGAGAATGATTCACTGGCTTCCCCCACCGGGAGGAACCTATAAGGTGAACATTGATGGAGTGTTTCACGTTGGAACAGGGCACACAAGGGCAGGTGGGTTAATCAGAGACCACCTTGGACGATGGGCGGGTGGTTTTAATATGAATATAGGCTTTGCAATGGTCACAGGGGCTGAGCTGTGGGGGCTCCTTCAAGGGCTGATGCTAGCCTGGAATATGGGACTACGCTGGATTCAGGCGGAGGTCGACAGTGAATCGGTGATAAAGTGCATTGGGGAGGAACGGCAGAATCATGGATTACACGCTGGCATTATAGCCGGCATCCAAGAGCTCAAGCAAAGGGATTAGGTACTGGAAATAAAACATTGCCACCGTGAAGCTAACTTCGCAGCGGACTGTCTTGCGGGTCTGCAAAATCAATAGGAATGGGGGTTGTGTAACTTTTGTGATCCTCCGCTAGAAGTGCTATCATGGCTCCGTCACGATGTGATCGGGGTAGAATACCAGCGGAATGTAATAGTTTAGCATTAAGGCCAATTGACCTCTTATCTTTGTACCCCAAAAAAAAAAAAAAAATTGTGTTTCCTCATTCCTAAAGCCAAAACTTTTGTGAGAAAACACCATTTCCAGAAGACAGGAATGAGTAAACATTTTGTATGGACATTATGCAGGGTCGGCCCAAATATTTTATAGGCCCAATTGTGAAACAAAAAAATGGGCCCTGTGAAACATCATATCTACAAATATATATATATATATATATATATATAGGGAAAATCTAGCCTCCCGTTGGCTATTTTTACGGAACCGTCCCGTCTTGTCTTCAGCCAATCAAAATTGAGGGTATTTAGATGTAACCATGTGGTGAATAACATTCTATAATATCATAAACTAATTGAGAAAATGATCACTTTTGCCCAAAACATCAAGTTTCTGGCCAATTTGACCAAAAATATTTTTGGGAAACCAAATTCATCATCTAAATTTTAACTTTTTGCCAATTTAATCCAAATTGACGAGAATTCTGTTAGATTTTGATATTTTCAATGACATTCCATCACTTTGTACAATTTTTTATAGGTAAAAAACTTTTTTGACCTAAAATTTTAACATTTTATCCCTAATGTTTTGGTTATTCAGTAACATACGATTATCTTACCATTTACCACATAATTTATCTCCTAATCTAATTCATTGCTCCCACCCTAAGCCTCTTCCTTTTCTTCCTCTTTTACTTGTTTTCTGCTGCCGTACCACCACTGCCCCTTTCCTCTTCTCTCCTAAAAATTACTATCACCACTTCCTAAATATGTGAGAATCTCAAACCATCACCACAAACATAAAAATTTGCGTCCACCAACAGTACACAATCCTCCCTCCATCACCTGCATTTTTGTCGCCGCTACTTTTCTTTAATTCCACAAAAAATTACAAAATATTTTACTTAATTTTCCTTTTTTTCCCTTCTTCTTTCTAAAAAATTGTACAAAATAACGGAAAAGGAAAAAATAGCGGTTACAGCGTTTTGACCCTGCCATCAATTTTACCCTATTGATGTTCGATTAGCCAATTTTATCCTTTATGTTTGAAATTTTTGTCAATTTCATCCAATTAGTCAAATTTCCGTTAAACTTAACGGATCTCTGTTAGTTTTTAACAAAAATACCCCAATTATTTTAAAATATTATAAAGATAACTCACAAAATATTATTTGAGTTATTCGGAACTTGAACGTTCTTTTCATCCTTTTATTTGCTTTAAAAAAATGTAAAAATAACAAATTACCCCTTTTCACTTGTATTCATTTTAATTAAAAAAACTATTTCATTTTATTTCTATACTACTTTTCATAACCATCAAAATATACTATATGATCTTTAAAAAATAATTATTTATTTTCAACAATATTTTTCATGTGCAACACAATTGTGTTGGGTTTAGAGGTAATTTTGTCTTTTTATATTTTTTAAAAATTTTTAATGTGTTTTATTTTATTTTTTTAACAATTTTCTTCTTGTACTCTCTGACTTGTATATGTTGGCACTAGTATAATTACTATATTTTAAGAGAAAAATTTACCTTTTGTATTTCAATTTCGAGGTTTAAAAAAATATAAAAAAATATGCTGTTAAAAAATATACGTATTTATCTTTTTTATGAAATTCAATGATTGCTTATATAGTTTACCCATCGGCAAAGTAAGAATAGCAATTACTAAAAAAGAATAAAAATTGTGTTAACCAAATTTAAAACAATTCATCATCGTAGAGTAAATAAATTAGCACTTTTTCCTATTTCAAATGATTATCTAATTTTTATATTATTTTTACTGGCACAAACAAAATAATCATTTTAGGCTAGATCGAGTAAAATTTATATTTCGTAACTTATCAATTAATTACAAGAAGTCAAGGAGGAAAGACTTGCTTAGCAGTTTTCTTTTTTTTTTTTTGGATTTTTTTCATTTTTGTTTAGAATGACAACCTATTAATTTTCGAATTTATTTCAACTCGATTTTTTCTTCCTCATTTTCTTTATTTTTAAACTTTTTTTATAATCTATGAAAAAAAAGGTAAATTAATTAATAAAATTTAGTAATTATACTGGTAGTAACAGATACAAGTCAAGAAGTATAAGAAAAAGAATACTAAATAACAAAAAATAATAAAATTAATTAAAATTTTAAAAATATGAAAAAATTACTTTTGAACCAAACTCACATGTTTGCACATGAAAAATAGAGTTTGAAAATAAATACTTATTCTTTTAAAGATCTTGTAATATATTTTGATGGTTATAAAAAGTAGTAAAGTGAAATAAAATTAAATAAAAATAAATAAATAAATAATGAAAAGAGATTATTTTGTTGATTTTACATAATTTGGGGTTATTTTTATGATTTTTTGATACTATTGAGATATTTTTTTGTTAAAAATTAAATGAAATCCCTCAAGTTTAACGGAATCTGGGCCAATTGGATGAAATTGGCAAAATTTCAAACGTACAAGACAAAATTGACTAACAAAAAATCAATGGGGTAAAATTAACAACGCGGTTAAAACTTTGAGTACAACTGTAGAGAAAAAAAATCACAGGGACTAAACTTGCAAATCATAAAAAGATTGATGGATAATACAATAAGGATCCTCGTGCAAAAAATAGGAGGGGAGGGCACCGTGCCCCCGGGTATACTGGATACAGCCTCAAAAAAACTGGAAGGGGCATTAGTGGAAGTTTTGGGCATAAAATGAGTTGTACATTTAGTGTGTTGATCAAATTAAAAAGTTGTACATTTTCAAACTGGGCTGTTTTTCTAGGACGGAGGGAGTATATATATATATATATGGGAGCGGCTAGAGTCCCGTTACGTGACGGTTTCATTTAAAGATAATAATCGTAAGATTAATTAGGCTAATTAACAACGTAGGATTAAAATGAGAATGCATCATAGGTAAATATACCTAAACACACCTGATTAAACTGAAAAAATTTGAGAAATTGGTCAATTTTACCCAAAGCTTTAAGTGTTTAGCCAATTTGACCCAAAAAGATTTTTGTAAAGCCAAATCCATCATCTAAGTTTCAATTTCTGGCCAATTTCATGCAATTGACAAAAATTCCGTTACATTTAATACTTCCCCTGACATTCCGTGACGGATAAAATGACTCCTTTAAAAAATATCTCTAATCTTTAAATGACCATATCTTATAATCCGTAAAGAATTAGAGAACGTGTTATGCATGAAAATTATAGTACTCGTTGAGATGTATTCAACAAGATCTTTATCTAATATTTTTTTCCAACTTAAAAATGATCAAATTTCTTTGGGCAGAATTAAGTTGGATATCCAGTACAAACAAGTTGGACAATCAGAATGAACACAGTGGATAACCAGTTCAAACAATTTGGATAAGCATGAAAATCCGTTGGATAACCAGTACACACGAGTTGGATAGGCATACAAACCAAATGGATGGATATCCAGTACAAACCAAATGGATAACCAGTACAAACAAAATGGATAACCAAAATATCTTTTGATTCATAAAGAATTATAACAAGAATTATATATGAAATTTATAGTGCTCGATGAGATCTATCCGATAAGATCAATGTTGAATATTGTTTTTGAACTTTAAATGTATTTAAATTTTACGGGCAGAAACGAAGAAATGTGTTTTTCGTTTTTCTTTGAAAAATGGTTATCCGTTGTGTTCCTACTGATTATCCAACCGATTTAGTCTGATTATCCATTCTGTTTGTACTTGTTATCTAATTATATTTTTGACATTCACTCTTCAAAAAAAAAAAAGAAAGAAAGAAAGAAAAAATGATTGGATAAGCATTGCAAACAATTTGGATAATCAATAGAAAATAATTGGATAATCAGTACAACACATTGGATAATCAGTTCAAAAAAGTTTGACAATCATTTTCATAAAAGAGCAAGGAAAAAAAATACTAGATAACCACCACAAAAGAAGTTGGATAATTAATATGAAGACATTGGATATCCAGTTTAAAAAGATGGATAACCAACTTATTTTATATTCATATTGTTGTGTTCCTTGTATCTTTTGATTCATAAAGAATTATAACAAGAATTATATATGAAATTTATAGACTCGACGAGATCTATCCGATAAGATCAATGTTGAATATTTTTTTGAACTTTAAATGCATTTAAATTTTACGGGCAGAAATGAAGAAATGTGTTTTTCGTTTTTCTTTGAAAAATGGTTATCCGTTGTGTTCCTACTGATTATCCAACCGGTTTGGACTAATTATCCATTCTGTTTGTACTTGTTATCCAATCATTATTTTTGACATTCACTCTTCAAAAAAAAAAAGAAAGAAAAAATGATTGGATAAGCATTGCAAACAATTTGGATAATCAATAGAAAATAATTGGATAATCAGTGTAACACGTTGGATAATCAGTACAAAAAAGTTTAACAATCATTTTCATAAAAGAGCAAGGAAAAAAAATACTGGATAACCACCACAAAGAAGTTGGATAATAAATATGAACACATTGGATATCCAGTGTAAGAAGATGGATAACCAACTTATTTTAAATTAAGAAGTTGGATAATCAATATGAAGTGGATGGATATCCAGTACAAGCGAGTTGGATATCCAGCACAAACAAATTGGATATGTATACAAACCTGTTGGATTACAACTACAAAACAAGTTGGATAAGCATATAAACCAAATGGATGGATATCCAGTACAAGCGAGTTAAACATCTAGTACAAACGAAATGGATATCCAGTACAAACAAGTGGGATATCCATTACAAACAAGTTTGATAGGCATACAAACCAAATGAGTGGATATCCAG